TGTTTAATGTATGTATGCATGAACGTACGTATGAAACATAATTATTGATGCACTGAAGGTGTTAGTTTATTTATATTTTCTTGTCTATAGCGATTCGATGTGCTCAGAATAAAGTCAAATATGCTTAAATACTTACTTGTTCAGTCGATGAAACAAATCACCAATGCATAAACATAAGAGAATTTTAATGCAACTTTCCTAAGCTTATTTGATCAAAAATATTCAACAAATAACTATGCCAAAGATGAAGGATATCGTATTCTTATCCTTTTTTCTGTTAACAAAAACTAGACCAATCTACAGTCATCGATTCAGCAATAAACAAATAAGCATTTTTTTTTTAAAAAAAAGAGGAGAGAAAAAAGGATGTTTAACTATTTGTTACTGCATAGGTAGTTTTTATTGACTACAACACATTATAGTTATCGATAGTTAAGTTTCCTCTGTCCGTTTGGCTAGACAAACTAACAACATAAAAAGAAATGAAAATGGAATGTGACATGTGTAACACAATTTTGTTTTCTTCTTCTTCTCCTTTTTGTTCCTTTTCACAGTAGTAACAAAGAAAAAACGAAGAAGGAATTCGCTCATCCATATCACGTATACAACTTGATTATCGAAAATAGGATTTAACTGATTTAAAGGTTTCAATGGAGTGAAATTAGGATAATGACACTTATTTTTGTCGTAAAAAAATTGTAGATTAAAAAGAAGAATGTATCGAAAATATTTTTATTTAAAAACCTTACTTCAAAGTAGGTGATGAACCTATTATATGAAAATGATCAACGATATCTGCTGGCTAGAACGATAGGTCATCATCATCATTATCAACATAGGACCAGGCATTACTGCGTAACGGTCCGAGTTGCCACACCTCATATCAGCACATCAAGTAAAAAGGTAGTGAGGTGAAGGATGAAGATAAGTGAATGCAGTCAAAAGAAATATAAAGTATGAGAAGAAAGGAAAGAGGAGTGACAAAATAGTGAGATTCGGTATAGCGTTGTTAAGATGAGGATAATGTGTGTATACATCTGCGCCACTGACTTCGGTTCTGAGCCATATCACCTAGGGTCTCCAACCACTGGTTCCTCTTGTCCCGTGGACCCCAACCACCTAGTCTGCATCGTCCTACATGGCTTAAACCAACAGTCAGAGACTTCATACATTGGTGCCATGTTTTAGTCTGGCCACCTCGGGCCTTTTTCCAGCCTGAACCCACCTCAGCCAACATTGTGTGACGAGGCAATCGGTGACTAGGCATACGTAGTACGTGTCCCAACCATCTCAGTCGATGAAGGTTCACAACCTCGTCGACTGACTTACCTCTTCTCCCTAAAACTCTACACCTAACTTCTGCATTACTCACATGGTGACACCACGGAATACGTCCTATACTACGAAGGCAACGGTGGTCAAATACCTGTAACCTTCTCATGTCTTCCACTTTCAATGGCCATGTTTCACAGCCATACAGTAGAACAGAGCGGACTGCTGTGCAGTACACGCGACCCTTAATAGACAAACGAATATCACGGCGGCGCCATAGGTGGCGCAAATTGGCAAAAGCCAATCGAGCCTTTTGTATCCGTGCAGAAATCTCATCGGCAACTAACCCACCGGAGTTGATCCTACTTCCCAGGTAAGTGAAGTGGTCAACACACTCAACCACTTCACTCTCTATTGTTAACCGCGGTACCGCTGAAGACCAGTCCTGGAGCAAAAATTTGCATTTGGGTGGTGAAAATCGCATCCCAAACATTCTCAAATTCCCACTCAAAGTGTTCAGAAGACTCTGCATCTTGTCAGCGTCTTCACCTAACAGGACTATGTCATCTGCATATTCTAGATCTAAGGAAAATTCACCTGTGGTCCGGTCAACGTCTTTGTAATTAGGTGACGAGAGGGAAACCTCCATAAGAATATCTATGATAAAATTAAATAAGAATGGGGATAGTGGGCATCCTTGACGGACACCACTTGATGAGTATAGCTCCCTGGACAACTCACCATAGGCTCTAACATGCCCACAAGTGTTCGAGTAGAGAGCTTTCAATAAGGTGATGTACTTACTAGGCACGCCTTTCAGTGACAGACACTGCCATAAGACTTCTCGATCAACGGAGTCAAATGCCGCCTTCAGGTCGAGAAATACAGCTATTGTCGGGCGTCTGTAAGCATGCCTATGTTCCAGGACCTGGCGCAGTGTGAATATTTGGTCGATACATCCACGGCCAGGTCTAAAGCCTGCCTGGTTTTCTCGGGCTTGCTGTTCCCGAGCTCCACTCAGGCGTCGGAGAATTATAGAACTTAGGATCTTAGACACTATGTTTGTCAGGCTGATTCCTCTGTGGTTATCACAAGAGGACTTCTCGCCTTTCTTGAAGACTGGGATGATCAGTGACTTAGACCAGTCGGAGGGGATCGTATTTGATTCCCATATACTGGCTAACACTTCCGTTAGCCTGACTAAGAGAACTCTACCACCATTCTTGTATACCTCAGCAGGTAGTCCGTCTGGTCCTGCTGCCCTTCCCCGTTTCAGGCTACCTACCGCTTTCTCGACTTCTTCTAGTGTTGGGGGACCTGTCTCTATGTCCCATTCAGGGTCCGACTGGATAGCGGGCAGCGCAATGGTGGCTGGAGGCCAGTTAAACTGTTCCTCAAAGTGTTCTGCCCATCGTCCCAGTCGCCTTCCCTGCGAGTGAATCGCCGATAGGTCCTAGAAATTTTTCCATGCCATATAAATCAGCATGCACTAACAGCAAAAAGGGAACATATTCAATTACCTCAGTTATACACAAAAGATTTCCAGTATACACACAGAAGTTATGAATATGTGTGAGTCAGTTGACAACAAATGAATCAGTGAATTTTAGATTCCTTCAGATAATTAACTTGCTAGTAGTCAGTTAGGTAGAGTCAAATCATATGAAGATGTGCTGAATACACTAAATACTTGGGTAGAAGCCTTCTAAGTAAACTTTGTAACAACAATCATTAACACAGTAAGTGCTGAAATTCAATCTGTTATGTTGATATGATCGCTCCAAACTTTATTTCAATTAATTTACTCTATCAACTGAAAGTGAATATTTGCAACTCGAAGATAAAGTCGAAATACGCATACAACTAGTCATCAATCGAAACTTTTATCCACAGAGAAATAAACAAGTAGATACAATCAGGATGGAAACTACCAGCAAAACTGTTACAATTCAACTTACAGCACAACATTGCAACACCGTAGAAATAAGAAATGTAGGTACACAGGAAGATATGAAAATGAACAAGATGAACGCATAAACAAACAACCACCTCATTACCAAGATTCAGACACCTACTCAAGAAAAAGTAGCTATACATATTTAACTAGTTCCATCTGGAAATCGTTGATATTAGCAATGGTATTTATCACCAATGTATATTCTCCACCAAGTGTTATGCATTCCACTTTTTCTGTTCGAGCTTCAATGAATGACATCTGCATCTCATTTGAGCTAAAAATAGCCTATTGTGTGTAGCAAATTGAATCGATCAGCTTCTATGTGAGATGCCAAGCTTATCTTGTTTTTCTGACTCTCTTAAGTGTAAAAATCAAAATTTATTAAGTGACGCTTTCACAGATGTTCAAAATGATGAAGGAGGTAGATTCATATCTGAAGTAATTATAAGCTTCATTATTTAATATACTCCTTCCCCTCACAATAAACATTCATCCACGAAACAGTGCTTGTTACTATGGGAACTCTAATAATCAAATCTACAGACGATCAAATTCTCCAATGTTGCGCAACATAAACGAGTTCAGTACTGTATTAGTTACAGAGACCAAATGTCAGTCGTTACGACACTTAACCTCAAGTTTTGATAAGAGTCTCATTCCGTGGGAAGATAGCCAATAGTCACAACCTTTTGACTGAAAACACTAACACAGACATAATTACTCAACTGAATCAATTCGTGATTATTCATATCATCATCAATGTTCATACAGACAGGTACTACAAAGAACAATATCATTTCCAGTTGACAGTTTTAAAACAGTAAGTCTGCAGGAGAGGAAAGATGTTGGAAGTGAAAAAATAGAATATGGACGAAAAAGAAATCGAAGAATGAAAAATGATAAAGTCTTCAAAATATTTTGAAGAAGGTATAGCTTAAATATACCTACACCACTAGAGTCAATTTTGAGTCATATCATCTATAATCTTACGCTATTTGCTTAATGGGGTTGATAAATTCTAGCAAAAATGCCTGTGCATCTTTACAAGACTCAAATCAATAATAAGTCGCTTCATAATTGAATGAGTATTATGTTTCAGACTGATAATCCATAGCTGTCTTCCAGCTGCATATTATTGTATATCAGGCTAACTATTGGTTCACACTGTTTAACATATATCCCTTTCTTATCAATCGGTACTCGTTTGGAACCTCATCGATTGACTAACTTCCTTACCTACAACCCTATGTGTAATTTCAATATGTCGTTTTAAGTTCATACCATGAGTTTGTGCTGCTGTAGTCACCTACTATCTAAAACTCGTATCCCCAAAAGTCCTCATCAATCTATACTAAAAGTTGACCACATGAATAGCTAGAAGTAGAGATATGCAAAAACATAAGTGTGATTTGTTGTTCATTTCGTACTGAATACTGAATTGACAATCAAGAACTAATTGCCGACGTAGCTTTAGAGTAGGAAGTGTTGATCAAGTGTCCAATGTGACACAAAACTGTAATGCATTTTCTTCAACATCAAACTTTTCAGATCAATAAGCTCGAAGGTATAAATCTCTACTGGGGGAAAGAAGGTTTCATCAACTGCCAAAAGAATAAAAGATAGCATAAAGGTTTCCAGTGACTGATTAAAAACATCCAGCATCATTGCTGACAATAAAATAACCAGAAGAAATAAAGACCAGTACAGCATAAGCATAAGTAAAATGATTCGAAAGTTTACAAACCAATAAGAAATCAAATTTAAAACTTACAAAATATAAGTCAATACTCCAACAGCCCACATATCAGTTGCAAATGTTATGGGATCAAAATTGACAATTTCTGGAGCTGTCATAATGAAGAGAGATGAACATAAAAAATCACAACTATAGTTGCATTTAACATATTATTCAATATGTCAATAATATCAGTATTAATAGACGGATGCACTATAAATACAGCTAGTCTATACATGTCAATGATCACTTTTCGCACGTAAACTATAAAATTTATTGGATACTATAAAACTCCTCAAATGAATATGGTTTATATACATAGATAATATTATGAAGGGATCCGCTTAAGTAGTTCTCACTTTTAAGTATGAAATGTTTAAGGTTCATTCACTAACTATATATGAGTCATTTGTAAAGAGAATTACGTTTATTATTCATAGAATGAAATTATTTTCGATTGTATGGGTCTAGCGAATTTCCAGTATCAGTATACACAACAAATTCATCAAGTTTACGGGTGGAATATAGTTACATTGACTAGAAAAGAGTGAAACAAATATTAGGAAGACAAGGTACGTTATTATTACATGCAGATGAGGAGTAAGTTTATTTGCACGGTGAATGATCTACGAGAACCTGGAGCGATTAAGATCGTCAAGAATAAGTTCTAACTGATCTCAGGTGTGCAAACAGTGCTCACAATATATGTTTCTCTAAACACTGAACAGTCATGTTAATCTGACCTCTCTTATCGACTCAAGTTATACTATTCTTGTGACTCTTTTCTTTTACAAACCATCTAAGAGATCCATCGACCTGAAATGATGAATTCATTTGCTAAATGTGTAATTTACTACGGTCGAAAGTAGAAATATTACGTAGTAATGGGAACTATGTTTTCCTGATAGCAATGAGATTGTAAGAATTCAGTTGCATCAATCAAGCAATGTAATTTAAATAATTTGAACAGAAAATGTGGACATCATACTTATCATCAGTTATCAACGAGCTGATCAAACTAACTTATACATCCGTTTTATATAGTTGATAAAATAATACAAGCCAACTAATTACATGTACCAGACAGTTAGCCACACGTGTAAGGGACTAATTATACCACCCGGTTGTTCAGGCCAAAATAGGTGAAGCAGTAGTTGAACCCAGGACCCAATGTTTGGAAGTCCAGCGCATAAGCAAATGACCCACCCCTGCACCTCGATATAGTTTCTGTTTCAAGTCAAACGTAATTGTTTCCAATCTCTGAAACAATAAATTTTTATAGACTCGTGTCAAAACGCCAAGTCCTAGCGACTACTGAAACAACCAGTTTTAGTAAAACTAATTTTCTAGACAATACACATAACTCTAATGGATTATTTAGGTAGCTGCTAGGGCAAACTTCTAAGCTACTCCTCTTTTGATATAGCCTCAGCTGTTTTGATTACCTTATGTGATTTTTTGAAAATTAGCACTCTAGTTTTAACTGATATACAGTCATCGCCGATGCCATTTCTACTCTCCTATTGTTACTTGATTACTGTTACAAGTGGAACTAGACCATAAAAAGTTGATCAATAAAGTCAATTATCTATGCATCACATCACTGAATGTTTAGTACTGAATTACTGTTATTATTACATTAGGATTTGTTAATCTGGCTACTATATAAATAATACTGCTTAGTGAAGACCTACTTTGCATATTTGAGACCGAAAAGGGTTGAGGTAAAGATTCGGCTACTGATGGTAGATAAACAATTTAAAAATAATTATTAAATGACGAGCTTATCTAATTAGAAGAAACAAATGGTGTTTTCATTAGGCTCTTTTATTTTGACTTTAGACTACTGCAATATGTCCGGTATCAATTTGGAAAAACAAAAAGCTGGATGAATACCAGCCTTTTCTAAATAAATGAAGCAATATTTATCCCCAATTATCACCTGCTCAACTAAGTGACAAACGTTAATCAGGCGAATATAAATATTACATTCGAAATGCTTATGTAGTCACAGAAATAGTGCGTCTCAATAGTATTTATGAGGCATTCGAGCAGTCAGTCTGCCATACATCAACGATCTGCTGACATCATTTACCTGTCATAAACTAGAGAATTAACTGTTAAGCTATTCAAAATAAGAGTGACCCCTGTAAGACTAGATTACGTAAACCAGTTCGTTACCAGTGGCATAACCCATGTAGCTGTCTAGTCATGCCGATTGATTCTCACATGGATTACCGCATATGTCCCTTGCTATTTTCTGGAAGCGGAAAAGCATTATTCAATGTAGACTCAAATATTTCTACATGCTTATTTGCTTTTGTCAAATTCTTTTATTCGTACTTAATTGTATCTGAAACGAATTTTCAAAACTTTGTATGAGTCTCCAATTTCATCTCGATTGAACAGAAATGACAACAATGCTTCATGAAGTGAATGTATTCATAATCTTTAATTCATTTAAGAAGTAACATTGCTAAAAATCAATTTCAGTTATCCGTTTGAGAAGTTAACTAACTAACTGACTGACAGTATCAACACAGAACTTCGCACCTCGGCTTAAACTGCTACATTTCACAGTAGTACATAAAGAAAAGATAGATAGAAAAAGAATGATTTCAAACAAGATAAAGTAGTGTAAAATAATAGACAATTTGTAAATCGAGGTTAGTGCGAATATTCAAGCTTTAGACGTCAAGCAGTGAATACGTCTGCGCCACTGTGACCGATTTTTAACGATGTCACGAAGAGTCCTAAACCACCGATTCTTTTCGTCTTGAGGATCCCAACCAGGAAGCCTACATCTCCCAACACGGCTCAGACCAACAGTAAGAGACTTCGTCGACTGGTGCCAAGACTTGGCATGACCACCCTGAAACTTCTTCCAACCTAATTCAACCTCTCCTAGCGTGACACATTGAGGTAGACGGTGGTTCGGTGTGCGCAGTACATGTCAAAGCCATCCCAGTCGACTAAGGTTGACAACCTCATCGATTCACCTGCCTAGTACCTTTCGTTTGACCTCAAAAATGCTCATATGGTGATTTCATTATACGCTAGCAATGCTACGAAAACATCCGTGATAAAAACCTTGTAACCGCTTTATATCTTCTACTCTCAACTACCATGCTTCACAGCCATATAACAGGATGGTACGGACTACCTGTTATGTTCACATTAAGTTGGTGAGAGACAGTTAGTGAACAAAGAATGATACAGTACAAGAAGGAAAGAAAAATAACAGTACAGAATGACTTTAGTAAAAAGCTATAGAAGGTAAAATGAAACCAGCTGAGATATGGAGTAAACATGCATAAAATAAAAAATATGCACTACTTGCAACACGATACATGGTGGGTAACATGAGATAAATTGAAATTAGTTCCGAACACAAGAACTAAAATTTCAAATGCCGATTTCGAATGCCTTCTGGTTCCTGGAAGGAAATTTTTTGATAAACTCTGACTGGTATAACTTTTGGTACGTTTTTTCACCTACAAGCTAACTTGAAAAAATTCGGTTTGAAAACCTACATAAAACAATATGCAACTGTTATCGTATGGAGAAACTGCTGTATGCATGTTATGATCCCGTTAGCATGAAACGAATCGAATTTAGACCAGTAAGATTGCATATCGAAATAAATGCTGCAGGATATAAACTTATAAAGGCTGTAAGTTGGGATGAAAAAAACTGCCTAACCAGTTAACAACAGTGTTATGTCATTGATTGGTCACTGGAAAACAACCAGTTTCATGTTTTCTAGGGGTGAGTGCAGGCTGAATTCTATCGATCATTTTGCAATGTGGCCACCAAACTAGGAGGCTCACCATCGCGGTACACTTTGATGGCGAATCCCAACAAGCACAAAACCTAGTCCCAAGGCTTCCTCCTCATTGTCTCCAACGAACCAATAGTATAATAGTAATTCATAACTTAGTCGTCGACTAAATTCTCACCGAGAGCATGAAAAGCACACATTAACTGGTCTACTTCACATGGTCTAACACTCTAGGGGAAATATGAAAGAAAAAGGAAGAAACATGGTCATCTAAGGTGAAGCCAGGTATTGGTGTTAAGAATATTTGGTGAACTCGATCGGATGGAAAACTTGAAATTTCAAACTCCTCTTTCAGTTATAGGGTTGTTAAGCTATAAAACAGATAAGACAGAGAGGAAATGAACAAACGTAAGAAGATACGAAAATGAAAAAGAAGCATGCAAATGCAGCGAAAACAGATAAACGATAGTTTGATATATTAAACACATTGAAGAAGATAAGGAGAGTAAGTGCATTTGAGGTCCTTTAACTGTCTTAAACCGAGTTATCGAAGGTCTTCCACTTCTGAAAGATCACAATCAGAAGACCTGCACTTCAGTACAGAGCTCACAGCAATCAATAAATCCATACCCTTGTCTCATGTTTCGGTGTGGCAACCCTTAGCTTTCCCAGTCCTACCAGAATTGGGCAAACATGCCTTATCTCTTAGCTCATTCGGTTGGTTCAGGTGAATAAATTTATCGACTGACTTACGTCTCATGTCAGTAACTCGAGCTCAATCTCAGTGGTTTAACTAAATGCAAGTAACACTTCCAAGACATTTGTAATCGAATACCAGTCGTTTTACGGAGATATATACACATGCATAATCAATGAAGACAAAATCCAGCTCAATAGTCACGTATGGATTTATCAATTGCCCTGTGAACCATATACTTCCGTAGTCTCTAAGATTATCGAGGAATTCTGTATCGAAGTCAATAGGAGTCTGAACTTATTATTCAGCAATAAACTGTCACAAACGTTAAGTGAAATAATTGTTCTACGAAACTGAATCACACAAAGTGAGTGTAAGTTTGTTTTATTAACATTCCACAGCAAAACAAAAAAGACAAACAAATAGTGTGTTAATCAGGAAATTTAATATGAGGGTGCATGTGTTTCCCCGTAAATGTTTACAAATAACAATAATAATAAACACAAACTAAAATTAAACAGCTATAAAAATTGATTTTCGCTTGGTACAGTCAGTAAAATTGTATTTAACATTGATGAAAATTTCCTATATCTGTGTGCATGAATACACTGATGAATATACAAAACAGGATATT